CCGCCTCGACATACACGTGCTTTTGTCAATTGTATGTAACGGTCATTCTGATTGGTTAAAAGTTTTTTGGGAGAAGAGCAATAACTTGGTATATCCTCTAGGTGGCAGTGGAGGGAATTATGAAAAGTGGAGTGTATACGAAGCGAACACTTGGCTAGCGAAGATGACTCGGGTTGTGCATGGAAAACACCAATCCTAACTGCCAATGGGATAGCCGATGTGTCTAATTCCATAATTTGATTAAATTACTAGCAAAATGGATTTACGATGTAGAACCTTTAAACTCCCTGAAAATGAGATCCAAATATAGCTCTAACAAATTCTCAGGTCCCTGTGGTTCACTGTTGTACGTCGGTACTATGTAGGATTCGTTGTTTATTACTGATATTTCTATCAATTTTTTGATATGCAATCCGAAAAGTTTCTGGCTTTGATGTCCCTTTTTGGTCTTGTTTTTATCAGATGAACAGCTGGAGATATAGCTGGTAACAACCCCTCAACCACCATGTACACGAATGTGACCCTCTGTTGTGCCCGTAGCCTGACCTGGAGTAATGGTAGTTCCCGGTTCTCCGGCATCCTTGTAACACACCGATCGATGTTACCAAGTCAAGGAAAATATTCACTTTATAAAAAAACAAGCTATAGAAATTATAAACACAATAGAAGGTTAAAATACACCGAGAATTTTCTAATTTTACATATGTTTAATGGCAATGGTAATATTGAAACACGATATAGTTGATGTGAATTTCGCGTGTTATATTCAATGTTCGAAGAAAGACAACTCGTACTGACTCAAGCTGAAGTAGCTAGAACGAAACTACGACTACTTTTCAAAATGATAACCACTTTATAATGATATTTTATTTATTAATTGAACGATCTGTCTGAAAGCCGCATCAAATGCGGCGAAAGGAATTTTTGGCATTGAAACTTGTGAATAATTTTGAAAATTCAAATTTCAGATATTCAAGCATAAATTTAAATTTGTCATTAAAATTACCGACAGCACTTTGACTGCGGAATTAGACAAAGTTTGCCTCTAGATATTCATTTTCCTTCAAAATATCCCAAACTCATATTTCTCAAGTTTGAAATAATTGCAATCTCCAAATTAATATAATATACACTGTACTCCAAGTTCATCCTCCTTGAAATATCGCATAATTTGTGCTATAATTTAATCTTGTAGAAAGCCCGAAATGCGTCAACCTTGTAGTTATGCCTTACTCTTGTATTGTCCAAAATATCGTTTTATAGACGGAAGTAGCTGTACTTGTTAAAATCTAGATAATAAAGATACACACATCAACATCGAGTTGCTTCTGTATTGTTATGACATTCTGACTGTGTACACGAACATAATTATATTCCTTAGGCATGTTTAATTGTACTTAAAAGAATTAGTGATTATTTATTTTGAAACAATGTTAAACCAAGAACCTACCTATTTGTTTTGGAAAAAAGCGTGAATAGTGTTTCAATAATTATCTTGTTCCCTAAACGTTTGTTTTGCTGTATTTTGTGATAAAAAAAAAAAAGGCATACTGCAAACCACTCTCCACCGTTTTCGAAATTTTAGCAGATATCGTAATTCAGCGCTATCGAATTATATATAGTGCCAAAGCATTAAATATGACTTGCTGAAACACGACACATAATCATCAGGAGAACTTTCACTAAACGAAATTACCTCCCCTGCCGAATCTAGCTCAAAACGGCCTCACTGTAAAAACGGCCCCAGTTGAAACGGCCCCACCTATTGAATCGTGTTTAAATACAATTTGATTGGATTTTAAATAAACTTAATTAGTATTCAATTTATTTCAAATCAGATTATTGTTACTTATATTTAGTGAATATAAATAGAGGATGTCAGCCAACAATTATAATGTAATTATAACGGGACGTATATATATGAACATAACAATTATAATATGTAAGTATAACGGGACGTATATATTGTATATACATGTATGAACATTGATGAACATGTATTTGAGTTTAAATAAACTGTATTGCATAAATACTACGCAAGATGACCGGACGCAAGTTATCACAACTTATCAATGTCCGCTCTATAATACAAGCACACATAGGCAAAACTTAGCAATGGCCTTATAATAAATAGCACATAATATATTTCACATAGTATAAGAAAGGCAGAAAAATAGGACAGTAGAAAAGGAGTCAGAGATCAGAAGAAAAAAAAGATACTGATAGATTAATTTGAGTATTACAGTGCAGGAGTCAACAGATAGGTATAGATGACACTATATATTGACCTGTATTTACGCAAACCGTTTGCTTTCAACAATACATGTTTGAACATGCTTACAAATAACTTCGTTTGATTTTATATCGAACGAAATATCACCAAACAAAAGGCTTTCTCATGTAATATTGATTAACCATATCAAATGTTGAAACACTTAATTTCTTTGTACATCATACTTTGGACAATACAAAATAAAATGGTTCAGCCTCCATATCTTGTCCACATCTACAGGGTGGACTGTCAGTACGATTGACATGGAATAAAATATGCTATTTAATACGTTTTTTATTTACTTCTTTTCTCTAAATAATTACATTAAATTAAACACTGAAGTAGAAAACACTGCCATTGCAAATGTATTTGAGACTGAGGAGGGTCAACTATCAATGGAAACACAAATACAATTTATAACATTTTTATCTGTATGTACATTTCTTTATTTCTTGAAAGCGCATGTAACTTTATAACATGATATCAAGTTATGTAATTGTATTATGCAATTGTAGTACTTGCAGTACTTTATACAGTATGTATACTATATATAGGATGGGGCCTATGGAAGGGGATCACCGCCATAATTATTTTTTATAGAATTAGTTACTTCTGGTTTGGAATCTAATTCTATGTACATTTGTATTAATTCTATGTTCATTTGTATTAATTCCCTAGTTGATAAGTGTCTTTTTCCATGCTATGTACATTTGTGTTGTTGCACTCGTTTACAAATCTATTGCGTGTTCATTCCATGCTATGCTAGTTTTCATTCCATGCTATGCTGGTTTTACCGATCGCGATTTCGTGTTAGCTTGTAGTATTCAATCCATTCCAGACTTACGTGATGTTATATACTCAGTACATTCTATCGGTTGATCTGAAGCTTTCGTCATTTTTGTAAAAACAGAAAATCGAAACAAAGTTTTAATTCAGAAATAGCTAGCTAGTCAACTAGTAAACGAGTAAGCCAGCAGTTGAAATACGTTAGGTTTCCTCATTATGATGACAAGCTGCGCTGCGATCGTCTTAAATATACACAGACCGCTCCCCAACCGCATCCGGTGCAATGTCGTTATTTGTTTACGTTTTGACTATTGTATTTTTATGGTTCTTATATTCATTACTGCATAAATTAAATATATGTTCAAGAACATATTAATGACGCCGTCAATATTGATGTAGACTCGGACAGTGCGAGAAACATTTTAAGGGCCTGCACAAGAAGAACAATTAGACTTGCTCAAGTCCAGAAAATAATCACATAAACCATAGACCTAAATTAACTTTAGGTCTCTGAATAAACTAAATGCGAGTCTAATATTGACAGAGCGTAGAGCTTTTCTTCCCCACTCCAATACACGCATTTAAAACAAAAGTGAAAAAAAAATAAGCAAAAGTATGTAGGTTAAATGTTGCAGTAACTTAATTAACAATCTCTTACCCACTATGACAATCTCACCCCACCACCACCCCAATTACAATTAATTCTTTATCACCTGTACTGTGCATGTCATATTCTTATATACATTTTAGATGAAGTTTGGAGAAGAGTTTTAAGTGGCTTTTGAGGCAAGATTACCATAGGTCAAAGATAAAAGAATATGAACCAACTTCCTCCACCTAACAAGTTATTTTTAGAGTCAATCAGAGTAAACCATTATCTGTTTTTGTCCATACCAATGAAACAGGAGTTTTTGATAAGAATGTTAAATTGAAACAAAATCATACAAACTTTCAAACCCAACAAAAACGTGCTGTCATCAATATCCACTGCTTCATAGACAAGTCCATAGCAGATGTCCATGTCAAAATTTAGTAAATTCACAGACTTAATTCTGTGGTAAATTATACAATTGTGAATGGTTATATATTTCTAACAGAATAATTCAAATCAAATAAATAACCTTTAATTGATCAAATATAATGACAAATATATTTATGAAAATTAAATATACATTGCATTAATTACATTTAACGTTTTGAACTTAATTTAGGAAGGTAATATGAACACAAAACTATATAGTTTATCAAACATGTGCACGTCATACAGCACTTTTATAACTTACCTTCAACGTCATTGTTCGTGCGGACACTCTGGCGGAAGACAGTCCAAGAGGCTGGGGTGAATACATCGTCGTCTATCCACTGACGCTCGATGTACTCCACCAGTCGCATTATCCTATTATACTAACCTCTCTCAAAGTCCAAAACAAACTGCTCCAGGATGTCGACACCGAGGTGGCGCTTGAGGACGGTCAACACCTAAGATAAAAGAAGTGATAATTAATGTATGTGTGTGTCTTACGTACATCTTTTGATTATGTTATTCGACAGCATTGAACATTCAGTTGTAATTCTTTAAGCATTAATCGTTTGTTACCAATATACGTTAATGTTTGCCAATAATACATACCTCAACGTAGTCCCGCTTCCTCTTCCTCGACATCAGAACGAACAGCAATGGGAACTGCTTCCGCTGACCGTCCTGCTGCACAAATGCGTGGATGGACATCAACTGCCCAGAAGGTCGGAAGGCTGCTGGTACGACCTATAAAACAATGTATATATAATTAGTTATTTTACATTACAAAGGCTATAATTATTTACATTATATAACTAATGGATATTATACGCNAAGAACGAACAGCAATGGGAACTGCTAAATAGAAACAAACAGACATGTACATAGAGTGCGTGTAGATAGTAACTTCATCTCATTAAAAAGTCATTTTTCTCTGACATTTACCTTAACACTCATCTTGGCTCTGTGGTCCAGCTTCAGGTCTCCTGCGTGCACGTGGGGCTGCTCTCCTCGAGTGAAGGCGTCCCCAATCTGATGCACGATGGCATGACACCGCAGAGTCCTGGACCGGATGCTGCAGGTCCACTTTGTCGTTCGCTTCCCTGCATACTAGAAGGAGAAAACATATTGTTAAGTGATATCTAGAAGTCAGTATAGAAAAAAGAATATTAACAAAACAATTTGTATATTTTATAATTTATCATTTTGCGTTATATTTTTCTTGGATTGTTAACATACCTTCACACCGTAGGAAAACCCATCGCTGGAAGTAAGCAAAGGACCACCTCTCTTACTACCAGTTGGCAAGACAGTATAAACAAGTGGCGTTGCCTCCTGCAACGAATCGTCCAGGTCACCGGCATCCAGGGAACTGTAAATAAAAAAAGTATATATTATATATATATGTATGGGTAAATAAACATCAATTTATGTTTTTCTATAAGTTCCTTCGCAAGGACTTATTGCAAGGACCACTATGTATGTATATACATATATATATAAAACTGATATCGAAAAGCTATACAAAAACATTGTTTATTTAAACTTACATGTCCGCCGGAGCTACCGGATCATCATAACGACGGTGAGATATGTTGAATGAGGCGTCCATGTCCGGTTCGTCGTCAGGCACATCGGGCTCCATAGGTTCCTCGTCCGGCATGGACTCATCATCGCCATCCTCTACAAGCTGGGTATCCAGACACGGTCTACAAACGAAGTGTAGATCCGTGCCACTTCGTACAGCCTCCTTGTACACAGCCAAGGAAATACCTGTCAAAATAGAATATAATGAAACAATACTTATATATAATATAATTATGGACATATAATGAAACTAAATTAACTTCCCTAAGTAGAATACTTATACTATATAGATAATATATATAATTATGGACACATAATGAAATTAACTTCCCTAAGTAGAATACTTATACTATATATATAATATATATAATTATGGGCATATAATGAAACTAAATTAATTTTCCTAAGTACATAGATACGTATACGAAATGGACATATAATTAAGGACATATAATGAAACTAAATTAATTTCCCTAAGTACAATACTTATAATAAGATAAGATATGGATTAGGTATTGACATATATATCAAAAAACATACTTGTATAATAATGTACTTACCAGTCTGGCTGGTTCTATGCTGCCAACGGTCGCACACATCACATGCGATACCATGCTGTCTTCGTCTAACAACGGAGTCGCACGAAATACACAAATCATCCATAACGTAATGTTGAATTATAAAACAGTAGTAAGAAATGCTCTATTTATGACAAGTAAATTACTCAAAATTATCGACTCAAATATGCATATTAATTTTTATTGGTCGGTACTATCAAAACTTCTCAAAATGATCTCCTCCAATTAGCAAAAAACAACACGGACGTGTGCCGAAATCAAGTAAAGAAAACATCGTCACACGGCGACTATTATGTGTACACTAGACTAAATGTGTTAACATGGAAAATAATATTGTTGTGTACCACGCAATGTAATTAGAATTACACCATTTTTGTTTCATTTCACTATTCTTATTTATTGATAAAATCAATTTAATTCAATATATGTTATAATGTATGTCGGCTTGAAGAAAATAACGTAATCCGTTTTTTGCTTTACAATGTACTTAAAAACAACACAAACCCATTTTTTTTTTAAATAAAACTGATTTTAATGTTATGGAAGACTAAGAAGACTTAATTTGTGACTTAAAACAAATAAAAATGAAAAGAAAATACCATAAAAAGTTTCGCCCTAAAAATAATGTTTTAGGGCGAAACAACCTGGCGCGAAACAACCTAGGGCGAACGGGATTTGGGGCGAAACAACCTGGAACCCACGTACGCACGGTGAATATGTGGTTTTAGGTAATTTCCAGAATGGCCCCCTAAACAGGAAGACATGTCATCATCATGTATACCGATTCAGTCAACATCGCCAATCTTCATTAAGGTAAACAGTTAATGTTATCGTAAGGTTGTATCACGGAATTAGATTAGTCCGTGGTTGTATACATACAGGCACTTATATTATATAATATATATAAGAAAACTGCAGCTGTGATTATTGAATGCACTTCATTGTCACATCATGTACTTTGATTCCACTCCGAATCAAGATCTGGTTTTAATCAGATAATTACATGATTATATATCCTTACACAGGCAAAATTTCTTGATGTTAATTAATTTGACCTGAAAAAATGTTAACCTAAAATTGATGATGAACAGTATACCACAGGGACCTGAGAATTTGTTACAGCTATATTTGGACCTAGACCACAGGAGTCTGACGTTTAATCAATATAAGTATAACACTCCATATATAAAAAAAATACCCCGTATACTATAAAAAACAAACAGTATATGGGGTATTTTTTTATATATATAGACTGTTATACTTACTTATATTGATTAAACGTCCGACTCCTGTACATGTGCCTAAACTAAGGTGTTAAGAGTAATTTTACACGTTGAGGGGGGGTGGGGT